CAACCAAGGTACATGCCCTTGACCGTAATCGAACCTGGGACCTTTCAGTCCGCAGGCCGACGCTCTATCCACTGAGCCAAACCGGTTACGGCAGAACTTGTATCCTTTACAAAGAACATTAAGGAGGATCATAATAAAATGAGGGAAAACTAGATAGAACAGATCATTTGTTTTAATACTACAACAATGAACTCTTTGTTAGTGAGAACTGGTAACATCTAAGGAAATAAGTAGAATATAGGACAGGGCATTTTTTAATTGGTTGCCCTGAAAGTAGTAAGCCATGTTAACTTGATGCATGCTGTTAGACGTGAAAAATGTCATCTTATCCATTGCCCAGCAGAAACAGTCAGGGTGAAGGGAAAACATTCATAGGCTAAACAAGAAGTTCATGGTTTAAAATGAGAGTCTGAACAGTTGCATCCCTTAACTGCCGCATATACTGTATGGGCAAACGCTGGAAAAACAATCCATTGAAATGTATTTAGAATTAAGCAAACAACAGCAGCAAAACCCTTGGAATGTTACCCAGTTCATCAGTTGTTATTCACTCATTTAAGAAATAATGTTAGGTTATCTGAATGATTTGCCATGGCTTTCCTGTATGCACTAGTTTGTTGATTTTTAAAGTTGAACCCCAGAGGCAGAGCTTCACAGGGAGGAAGCATTCTAGTACAGGGCCTCTTTCGCAAAACCTCCCAGGACCCGGTGAGGACACTCCCACAGATTGCATCTACTGGGTGTCAACTGCAAAATCTTCCTGACTGAATTCTTTCTGAGAATAGCTCATGCGTTCCTCTTGAGCAATACTTGTTTGTTTACTTGTTCTAAAGAGCAAGGAGATGACACCGGACAGATTGGACAACGGGCCAATAGTGTCCCAGAGGACTTCCAGGGTGGAATATGTCTTCCAATCAGAAAGAGGAGAGGCGGGACAGGCCGGAGGAGGTGAACGACTTCTCAGTGTGCCCTGCCCTCCATATTGAGTGTGGCAAAAATAACCCTAATGTGTTCTAGAGCAGGTTACTGTTTCACGCCCCATTTGACAGATTCTTAGAAATAGCTAGCATGATTTACAGCTGCGTTACTCAATAATGCTGTGATGTCATATTCAATTCTTATCGGTTAAATTATTTCCCCCATGATTATGGTCATTTAATGTTATGGAAAAAGAAATAGGGTAAGAGTTATTTAAAACTGACACTGCTTGGCTTTCTACAATGATTATTTGATAGTTTAAAAGCACCAGGAGATTCCTGGAGAAAACACTAAATAAATTTAAGTGAAAGATGTGCTTTTGCTTTCCCCTTTTTTATGGGTTGTTTCAAGGAACTGTAATATTTGTTATTCAACTAAAAATAAATCATACTATGTTTATATTAGCTACCTTAAAATAATTCATGAACAATATCAATTTACCACTCTGAATATTTTTCACTACATCAAACTTCTATTAAACTGCAATTGGAGGCACATGAAATTTTTCACATACACTCAAGCACACTTGTTTTCAAAAGTTACATGAAGTTACTTTTAAAAAAAATTTTAGAGAGGGAAAGAAACATTTATTTGTTGGTCCACTAATTTATGCATTCATTTGTTGCATCTTCTTTAATTTAATTGAAATTTTCTATCACCATTTATCCCCTCCATGCCTTCCACCATACCCCCAACCCCAAAGTGATTGCTTCTTGTATGCGCCCTGATGAGAGATTGAACCTGCAACCTTGGCATATCGGGATGATGCTCTAACCAACTGAGTTAACCTGGCCAGGGCCTAAATTAATACTTCTTAAAAAAAAAAAAAAAAAATATATATATATATATATATATATATATATATATATATATATATATATATATATTTGGTTTCAGAGGGAAGGGAGAAGGAGAGATAGAAACATCAATAATGAGAGAGAATCATTGATCAGCTGCCTCCTGCATATCGCTACTGGGGATCAAGCCTGCAACCTGGCATGTGCTCTTGATCAGAACCAAGCCCGGGACACTTCAGTCTTCAGGTTGACGCTCTGTCCACTGAGCCAAACCAGCTAGGGCCTAAAGTAATACATTTTAAGTCTCATTAATTATTTATTCAAACATGCTAGTCTAAAATGGAAATTATGCTTATGAGAAATCTTTACACACCAACTGAATTGGATGATTTCCTGAGAAATATGTAGGGATATGTGGTTTTATTTTATTTTAATTATTATTTTTAATTTTTTGGGTTTTTTTCTATTTTATTTTTTAATATATGTTTGTTAATACAGATAGGAAGGGAGAGGGAAAGAAACATCATTGATGGGAGAATCATCTATTTGGCTGCATCCTGAACGCTCCCTCCTGGGGATTGAGCCCATAACCCCGGGCATGTGTCCTGACTGGAATCCAACCATGACCTCCTAGTTCATAAATCAATAGTCAACCACTGAACCACACCGGCCAGGCAGAATATATGATTTTAGATTCAAGTGGGAGCTCAAGCTTAGGGGTAGGACTATAACAACCACTGTAAATGTGGACTTCAGTACTTGAAAATCTCAAAGAGTAATCCATTCCCAACACTAGCATAGCCCTTGAGGCTAATCCCTTGAGGCTATTACAATGAACCAAGGCCTCCCGGTAATTTGGTAATGCTTTATGGATGCTTAAGGGACTAGGAAAATATGAAACTCTCCTTCCCTTCCCCCCACTCCCATATGCCAGATAATTTATTTCTCCCTCTTGCATTTGGAACAGTTATCCAGCAAGAGAATGAGAGGTCCATTTCTTGCAAAGTAGCACTAAGCCAAGAAAGCACTCACCAGTCAATACTAAGTATCATAAAAATCCCTTTGTACTTCAAAACTGATCATTTTGTGTTTGGCAGAAGGTAGGTACATAATAAGCACTTACTGGATTTTTTTTTCAATCTTCACGGAATAAAAACAATCAAGATAGTACACTGGAAGCTTAAATCTTTAGAATTTTGGAAACCAGATAAAATGTCCAAGTGTTCTTTATTAACTGTATATTATCAGATTTTAAAGGTAAAGAACTGTGACAGAAAGAGGAAAAAAGAATACGTGAGACAGCAAGTGACACATGCACAAATCCACTGTTCTTTTGTAGACAGAATAAAGAGCTACAACTAACATCATTGCTTTGGTGGTGGGGAATAATTGATGGGAACTCTAACAAACTTGCTTCTCTATAAAGAAAAAAATTCCATCTGTATTAAAACCACTTTAAGAAATATATCTTATACATTTGTATAGTAATGCATATTAGCACACTCCAATTACTTTATCAAACAGGCATATAAAAAAGGCTTTTACATACTTAAAAGGGCCAAAATGCTGGAAATATGATAATCTTTCAAAGTATTAGATATTAAAGAGCAAAAACAGCCAAAGAATCGATTGCTGTTCATAAAGATGTGTTGTAGGCAGCAGGAATGGCACCAGGTATCTGACCCATGGGGTTAGACCAAAACTAGGTTCAGCATCCTCAGTGCTTGGGTTCTGGCTAGGAAAGAATTCAGAGTAAGATGCAAAACTGTAAGAGAACATTTATTGAGGAAATTACAGAGTTAGAAACGGTAATTCCTAGAAGAAATGGGCTTAGGAAACAAGTTATAGAGGCAAAGGAAGGGCTCTTGGAGCTTGGGAGTGAGGAAGCTAATGATAATGTGCCTGGGTGGAGAGAGAGGGGAAAGGCATGGGAGGGAGAGGGCACTGGCTCCTCCATCCTAATGATTTTATTTCTTATTTTTAAAAATCTTTATTGTTTTAAGTATTGCAGATGTCTCCCTTTTATCCCCCACTGCCCTCCTCCACCCAGTTCCAGCCCCACCCCAGGCCTTCACCATCCTATTGTCTGTGTCCATAGGCAATGCATTAAGATCTTTGGTTAATCTCTTTCTGCCCCCTCCAACCCTCTTCCCTCTGAGATTCGTCATTGTTCCATGTTTCCATGCCTCTGGTTCTATTTTATTAATCAGTTTATTTTGTTCATTAGATTCCTTATTCATTTATTTTTATTTTTAGATTCAATTATTGATAGATATGTATTTTTTGCCATTTTATATTCATATTTTTTCTTCTCCTCCTCCTCCTTCTCCTCCTCTTCCTTCTTTCTCGTCTTAAAGAATCCCCTTCAACATTTCATGTAATACTGGTTTGGTGGTGATGAACTCCTTTAGCTTTTTCTTGTCTGTGAAGCTCTTTATCTGACCTTCAATTCTAAATGATACCTTTGCTGGGTAGAGTAATCTTGGTTTTAGGACCTTGCTATTCATCAATATTTCTTGAATATTTCTTGCCACTCCCTTCTGGTTTGCAGTGTTTGTTGAGAAATCAGTTGACAGTTGTATGGTCACTCCCTTGTAGGTAACTAACTGCTTTTCTCTTGCTGCTTTTAAGATTCTCTCTTTGTCTTTAGCCCTTGGTATTTTTTAAAAAAATATATTTTACTTACTCTTTACAGAGAGGAAGGGAGAGGGATAGAGAGTTAGAAACATTGATGAGAGAGAAACATGGATCAGCTGCCTCCTGCACACCCCCCACTGGGGATATGCCTGCAACCCAGGTACATGCCCTTGACCAGAATTGAACCTGGGACCCTTCGGTCCGCAGGCCGACGCTCTATCCACTGGGCCAAACCCGTTAGGGCTAGCCCCTGGTATTTTTAATTATGATATGTCTTGGTGTGGACCTCTTTTGGTTCATCTTGTTTAGAACTCTGCATTTCCTGGACCTGTAAGTCTATTTCTTTCACTAGGTAGGGGAAGTGACTGTCATTATTTTTTTCAAATTGGTTTTCAATATCTTGCTTTCTCTCTTCTCTTTCTGGCACCCCCATAATGCAAATATTGGTACGCTTGAAGTTGTCCCAGAGGCTCCTTACATTATCTTCATATTTTGGGGATTCTTTTTTCTTTTTGTTCTTCTGATTGGGTGTTTTTTGCTTCCTCATAATTCCAAATCATTGATTTGATTCTCAGAATACTCTACTGTTGAGAATTTAGGGGAGGTCCCAGGGAAAGATCTTAATAGAATACTCAGCAGTTTTCCAAGTGTGTCCTTTCAGGGTTGTAGTCTCCAATGATTGATTGGCTGGCACCAGGGCAGGGCATCATTACTCAATGCAGCCGGTCCTGACATCAGCTGTGGCTGGTTTTATTGCTTATCTGGACTTCGAGCTGAAATACAATTGAGGCCTAGATGTTATCTCTAGGGAGGAAAGGTCAGGGGGTCCAAACGGTATGACCAATGATATGCTGGGGGATGAAAAGTCACCCTATAATTGATTGTCCATTGCTAGGCACTGGGGGCTTTCCATTCTGGTGGCCTTCTGTTCCTGGCCCATCGTCCTTGCTGTACTCAGGTCTGTCTAACTGCATACTACGACATCCCCCCCCCCTCCCCGCTCCCCAAGGATCTTGTTTCAGAAATCTCTCAGAGAAAAGAGGTGCAGGGTTTCTACTGTAGCTGCTGAAAGGGGGTGACATTTTTCTTCAGAGCCAAGAGAACCTTGCTCTCTGTCAGAGAGACAATGAGGCCTGGGCATGGAAGGAGGTGGCAATGGTGTCTAGAGGTAATAGTCCCTGAATATGAGTAGGGTTTGTAACTTGGTGGGGACAAACTGTGTTTTAAATCTTAGTATCATTGGGGCAAAGCTAGAACAACAAGAATTATGACAAATGGTCCAGTGGAAGGAAAAACATTTTAGTACTCACTGATTCCAAGTCAAAGGATGGGATAAAATGAAGCATTAGTTTGGAGAGTTGTAGGTAAATATTTTAGAAAACAAAATAAATTTAAGAGTCAGTTCAATTCATAGGTGAAAAATAAAATTTTGAAGACAATTAACGGAATTAGTCTAATATTGACTGTGTATTAGAGTCTATTGAAACAAAAATTTTTCCCCCTAAAACCACCCTCACTGTCATTAAAGTGCCACATTAAGACCAATTCATTTACTGCGTTAAGTTTAGTTACAATTTGGCCCAGCCAGTGTAGCTCAGTGGTTGAGCCTTGATCCATGAACCAGGAGGTCACAGTTTGATTCCCAGTCAGGGCACATGCCTGGGTTTCAGGCTCGATCCCTAGTGTGGGGCATGTAAGAGGCAGCTGATCAATGATTCTCTCTTATTGTTGATTTTTGTGTCTCTAACTCTCCCTTCCTCTCTGAAATCAATAAATATTTTTTAAAAGTTTAGTTTCAATTTGGCATGATTGTTTACATAAACACAGTAAGAATAGCAACTGACTGTATAGGCTCTTTTAAAATCTGCTGGAATCTCATGATTGAGCTTTAATGAGCTCCTCAGGCCAAAGAAGTTGAGCCACCTAGTTGCCACCAGGTTTTCCTGCATTACCTGTATACTTGGGTAAATTCCTCAAGTTCTTAAGGTCCCCAATGATGTCTTGAGGTACCTTTCTTACCATCTCTCAGGAAAACAATCTTCATTCCTTACCTGGAAAGACTGCCTTGAACTATGTCACCAAGTGAGGTACCAGGCTTTTCTCCAAAGGGCTCTTATTGGCTTCACAGTCATTTTCCTTCCTTAAGGCTTTCTGCTAACATCAAGTCCAGGCATGTCTCTCTCAGACATGGCATTCCAGTCAAAGTCTTGGTTGATAAGATTATAATTGGAAACTGCTCTTATTGAATTCATACTAAGAGATGTATTGCCATGATTCACTCATTAAGAATTGCCAAATTCTGGAGGGATAAAAAGATATAATTTACTAAATTTTTTAAATTTTATTATATACTAGAGACCTGGTGCATGAAATTCGTGCACTTGGATGGGGGTGTCCCTCAGCCCAGCCTGCACCCTCTCCAATCTGGGACCCCTCAGGGGATGCCCAACTGCTGGTTTACTAAACTGGCAGTCGAACATCTCTCTCACAATCTGGGACTGCTGGCTCCCAACTGCTCACCTGCCTGCCAGCCTGATCACCTCCTAACCACTCCCCTGCCAGCCTGATCGACGCCTAACTGCTCCCCTGCCGGCCTGGTCACCCCCAACTGCCCTCCGCTGCTGGCCATCTTGTGGTGGCCATCTTATGACCACATGTGGGCAGCCATCTTGTGACGACATGGGTGTGCCATCTTGTGTGAGAGTGTGATGGTCAATTTGCATATTACTTCTTTATTATATAGGATTATTATATAGGATTTTTATTGATTTCAGAGAAGAAGGGAGAGGGAGAGATAGAAACATCAATGATGAGAGAGAATCCTTGATCAGCTGCCTTCTACATGCCCCCTACTGGGGATTGAGTCCAGAATCCGGGCATATGCCCTTGACAGGGATGGAACCCTGGACCTTTCAGTCTACAGGCCAACGCTCTATCCACTGAGCCAAACCAGCTAGGTCCCAAATTGTTTTTAAAATGTCTCCTTATATTTGGAAGACGAGTATAACCCTTGTATTTATAACAAAGTGGAAAAGAACCAAATTCTAACTATTAGCTTACTTTTGACCTTTAAATTTATTTACTTAATTAAATTTATTATTCAGGAGAGCACCTGCTGGGCCTTCATTTTGTGGAGTTTTATAGACTGAGCATTAGAGGAGTATCTTAGAATTCATCAGCTTTATGCTGATGTACCAAAATGAGATTTACTCTCTTCACTTGTCCTTGGGTGTGGCCAGCAAATGGCACTAATTGGATTTCTGCTGTCTCCATGAGTAGGGTGATCTAAGCTATGTACCTTCTAGTGCAGTGGTTCTCAACCTTCTGGCCCTTTAAATACAGTTCCTCATGTTGTGACTCCAACCATAAAATTATTTTCGTTGCTACTTCATAACTGTAATGTTGCTACTGTTATGAATCATAATGTAAATATCTGACATGCAGGATGGTCTTAGGCAACCCCTGTGAAAGGGTTGTTCGACCGCCAAAGGGGTCGCGACCCACAGGTTGAGAACCGCTGCTCTAGTGCAAACCATTTACTCTTCCTAGGATTTACTAGATGGCTGCAGACTGCTTGGCATCTAGATTTTCTAGATCAGGGGTTCTCAACCTGTGGGTCGCAACCCCTTTGGGGGCCGAATGACCCTTTCATATCTAAAAAACCCTAAAGACTTCACCAAAAAACTATAGAAACAATAAATATAGTAAAGTTGAAGGATACAAACATCAATGTACAAAATGCCACTACTTTCCTATATGCTAACAAAACTTCAGAAAAAAAGAAATGAAAAAAACAATTCCTTTTGCAGTAGCAACCAAAAGAATAAAATACATAGGGATAAACTTAATAAAGGAGGTCAATGATCAATCTACAAAGCATTATTAAAGGAGATTGAGAAAAAAAAAACACCATCGGAAAACACATATATAATTACATATTGTTTTTGTGATTAATCACTATGCTTTAATTATGTTCAATTTGTAACAATGAAAATACATCCTGCATATCAGATATTTACATTACGATTCATACCAGTAGCAAAATGGTTGGGGGTCACCACAACATGAGGAACTGTATTAAAGGGTCACGGCATTAGGAAGGTTGAGAACCAGATGGTTGCAAACTGCTGTTTCCCTATTCCACTTGTCCAGGCTTACTGGCCTCTGTCATCTATATAACTTCTTTTAACATTTCTCTTTATAAACCTATAACTTTCACAAACCTTTCTACAGCTCTCAGAAACCTTTTAACCTATTCAGAAACAACCAACTTTAGAAAATTCACTTTCTTTTTCCTTCAAAATATATTTCCATAGCTATACCTTCTATTATCAAACCATACAATTTCTTTCCAATTTAATTTGAACCTTATACTCTTAGAAACTCAATTTCCAATAATAACAAAAACAGCAAACAACCAGCATTCCTTAGATGGACTTTATGAACACATTTTAAACACTCTCACTTTTTTTTTTTTATTGTGTAGAAAGGGGTTTGATTTTCCCTTATTTTTCTACAGCCCTTTCACTGCCACAGCACTCTCACTTTCAAGAAACACACCTTCAACAAAGCACAAGACATTACATCAACAGCTCCACATCTATTTTCTAGCTTTTTTTTTTGTATTAAAAGGCCCAAAGGTGGTAAACTTAAGACTTGTCCAGCAATCAGTGGGTTAACAGCTGAAATTAATCTGCTAACATAGCTAAGGGTTTTTCCTTTCAATAAGGGTTACCCTCCTATAACCTGCATTTTATTTTATATATTTTATTGACTTTTTACAGAGAGGAAGGGAGAGGGATAGAGAGTTAGAAACATCGATGAGAGAGAAACATTGATCAGCTACCTCTTGCACACCCCCTACTGGGGATGTGCTCACAACCAAGGTACATGCCCTTGACCAGAATCGAACCTGGGACCTTTCAGTCTGCAGGCCGACGCTCTATTCACTGAGCCAAACCGGTTAGGGCAATAACCTGCATTTTAAAATGCTGGCCTAGATAAGAGTTAGATTCTAAAGTTAACTTCTAGTAAACAAATACTGAAGTAACCCGGTTGCAATTCTTTCCCTAGTTCGGACAACATGTGACAGAAGTCACTAGTGGAGATTCTTACAATGAAAACACACACACACCCCCAATGTGCTTTATCTGGTAAGCCAAAGAACACAAACAAAACCCAGCAGTTCCTAGAACAGTGATACCGTGAGATAGAAGCACAAAAATACTGTCTGATCAGGTGGAGTCCTTAGGAGCCACCAGCACCGAGCGCTGGAAACGCTAGTGCGCGAACTCAGAGCAGCCAGCCACGCGGGACAGGGACCCCGAGAGTGGCACCCACGCGTCTCTGGGGGGAAGGGGGCGCGCGGCTCCCTCCCGCCCGGCACAGGGAAGCATGCGCACTGGGTCCCGTCAACTTGGGCGCTCGTCCTTCCCGCGCGCATGCGCAGGGCGCACCCCACGCCCCGCCTCCGGCTCTGCGCGCGGCCCTGCTTCCGCCACGCACGCTATGGCGGCGGCGGAGTCCACCCTTGGCCCCGCCTCCTGGGGCGGTGCGCCGGTCACTTGACGCGGCTGCGGGCTGAAGAGACACAAGGGAAGTCGCGGTCGACGCCGTCGGGACCTCCGCCACCTAAAGCTGCGGGACCCTCTTCCTCGCCGCCTGCTCCCAGCCTCGCGCGCCATGCCGTCGGAGAAGACCTTCAAGCAGCGCCGCACCTTCGGTGGGTACCCCGGCAGGGCCGGGGCTGGCGAGGGCGGCCCGGCCCGGGAAAACTGAGGGTCCGAGGCGGCGGGCCGGGCTGGGGGCCCGGAGGTTGACGGAGGCTGGAGAGGGCTGAGGGGCCGAGGGGCCGAGGCGGCGGGCCGGGCTGGGGGCCCGGAGGTTGACGGAGGCCGGAGAGGGCTGAGAGGCCGAGGCGGCGGGCCGGGCCGGGGGGCTGGGCGCTGACGGAGGGCCTGGTCCCGTAGGGCTGAGGGCCGAGGCGGCGGGGACCGGACGCCAGGCCGGTGGACGGCTCAGGGGCGGTGTGGGTGGCCGGGGGCCGAGGGGCCGAGGGGCCGGGCCGGGAGGGCTGAGGCGCGGGGCCTGAGAGGCCGCGGGGTTGAGGACGGCGGCGGGTGCCGGACGGGCCGAAGGCTTCCGGGAAGGGCCCGCGAGGAGGGCTGAGAGGGCTGCGGAAAGGGGGTGCGGGGTGGGTGCGAGCCGGGCCGGGCCCTCACCCCGGGCCCCGCGAGGGCGCGCGTTTGCGGAGGTGCTGAATCACCTCCGGCCCCCGGTCAGCCCTCTGGTCTGGGGGTGCGGGGTGACTGTCCCTCCCAACGCGAAAACCCGTGTGAGGAGTGTCGGGCTCGGGGGCAGCCCCCGGGCGCCGGGCTGCGACTGGCCCTTTGAAGTGGTGGCTCTGGGATGCAGGTGAGTCATCTGCAGGTGAGTGCCCTGCTGCCGCGCGGGCACCGGCACCGCCAGCGCTCTCACCGAGAAGGGGGAGCCCCGGGGAGCCCCTGAGCCTGCAGGTTCTGCGCCCCGCTCCGCCCGGGTGGGCCGGCCTGCGGGCGGGACCTGCTGGTGTGCGGGGGGCAGGGGAGCTGGGGGGGGGGTGGCTTTTCCTCCTGGCGCCAGGGCACCCTCACCTCTGTGCCGGCGGGAACCACGTCCGTTCTCTCCCACCTGAGACTGGAAACCCGGCTGAGGGTTTCTGGCGTTTGGCTGAAACGGAAAGTAACCTCACAGTAATTACTGCTCCACAAAAACGATGGGGAGGAAGTGATGAGTGCTCTTAAGCACGACAATTCTGCAGCTGCAGCGTGGCCTCCGTGGATGCCCACTTGCGGGACGTGCTTGTGGCCGCTCGGGGCGGGCAGGCGGAGGAGGGAAGCACCCGGTCCTCCGCGCGCACGGAGAGGGGCCTGCGGCCATCCTCACGGTCTGCAGCGGGGACTCCTCTGGCCAGGTTTCGGGGGTCTAGAAAGAGGTGAGCGTTCATTTGAGCTTGGATATGGTTTTCTAGATCTCATTATTGATAAGTGTTTGATTTCTTGTGCCCGAGAAGTTTCAGTAAATGAAATGCATGTCGGCCCGCTGAGCATATCTTTCCAAACAACTCCTGAGGTAGGTGGTTGGTCAAGAAGACTTAGACGTGCCCTTTTAATTAGAACGTTTCCCTTTAGAGAGCTTAGTGAACTCCTACAGTTAGCTTTTTTGCAACCCTAAGAGCGGCATTTAACGCAGATTTGCAGTATCTGGCTTCCATCCTCACTGACTGGCGTTTGAAAGTTAACTGGGGACATTTGTGTGGGAAAGATGCCCATTTTCTCATGACTGAAACTATACTTTCCTCTGCTTAAAGGATTTTTAAGTTATTCTGGAGAAATATGTTCTAATTAATTGGAAGGATTTCACCTGGAACCTGTGACTCTGGAAGTAAACAAGCAGGAACCCCCTTCCCTCACTCCATTCCCAGTAGTGTATCTTACATATAAGGTGGGCAAAAATAGGTTTACTGTGCCATTATGACATTATTTTGTATTAATAAAGCTATTGTAATAATCATAATCTTCATGCCGTTTTTCATACAACTGTAAACCTTCTTTTGCCCACTCCATATATTGTATCTGCTTTCCCCTTACCTCACCTTTCCTCCCCACCCCCTTTTCTAAGATCTCTTTAATAGTCATTTTGCAGAAAAGTATCAAATATCTCTTAATGACTACTACCTTTCTTTGCTCCTGATTTTCATAACAGCACTGATAATTGAGTTTTCAGAGATTTGTAGCACAGTAAATGAGGGGAATTAATTCTTTGGCGAGAACCTCTACTGTAGAATCTAAGACCAGCCCCAATTAGCTTGAGCAGTTCTCTCTCTCTTTACAAGTGAGTGAGTTTAAGTTAGTTTAAAATTGAATATAGCTCTGTTGATGTCTTTTTCTATGATTGAGAGGGTAGGGCCCACCCCAAACAACCCCTTTTGTAGCTGAAGAAACTGGGTGGGGCCCAGAGAGGTGAAGGACATGGTCCACCTAGTGGCAGAGTCTGGACTTGTCTTTTTAAACTTGAGAGATGATTTTCTTCCATCTCTGGTAGGGAGCCATCATTTCCAATACATGATCAACACTCTGAGTCGAGATGCATAGTGAATCCTCGCAGATGTTTTGACAAATATAATACATTTGAAAATTTGTATTTGACCAAACAATGTTGGATTCAGTCTTCTCAAATGTTGTAATAATTTCACTCCATTTTCTTCTGGAGTTGGCCAGTTTATTTAATATCAGAACTGTTTCCCAGACACTGTTCTGCTGAGATTCAGTGGTAAACTTAGGTCTTAAGCTTCTCCATTAAAAATCAAAGGGTTAGGCTCTGGCTGGTGTGTCTCAGTTGGGGGTTGTCTTGTGCACTGAAAGGTTGCCACTTGGATTCCAGGTCAGGGTGCATGCCTAGATTGTGGGGTGTGCAAGAGGCAGTCGATTGATGTTTTGCTTTGACATCCATGTTTCTCTCCCTCCCTCCCCCTTCTTCTCTCTCTAAAACTGAACAAAAACTCTTTTAAATAAATAAATATTAAAAAATAATGAAACTGTTTGCATGTCTGAGGGGAAGTTTGTATTGGTCTAAAATAGCTTCAACTACTCTAATAGGTAGACTGGAGAGAGACTTATGCCAAAACCTGGGTAGCACTCCACGATGGGTTGGATATTACGTTTATGATTTATAAACAGATTGGGAAAATACTTATCATGCACCAAGAGGTCGTTGGTTTGAATCCCAGTCAGACCATATGCCCAGGTAATGGGCTCCATTCCCAGTAGGGGGCGTACAGGAAGCCACCGATGGCTGTTTCTCTCTCACATCGATGTTTCTCTCTCCAAAATCAGTAAGAGAGAGGTATCAGCATAGACCATATTTACTCAATTGCTTCAGGCACCTGGCCAAGACGCATTCCTATGCTACTCTTTTCACCTTAAAGAAGTCACTTGTCTTTAATAAAAATAATCATTTTTTGTCTTCCTTTTATGGCCATATTTTGGGGATAAATCAAGATAATGAAAACTTTTGACACTATAGTTTCTTGACTTTGAAGCCTCTCATTTTAGAACCTGTTTTGATTTTCTTTCTTCATTTACCAAAATAAATCAGTTTCCTATATAAAAAAATCTTTCCCTTATGCCTAAATGTTTTTTGTTTGCTTGTTTACATATTTTTTTTTAATTGATTTCAGAGAGGAAGGGAGAAGGAGGGATAGAAACATCAATGATGAGAATCATTGACTGGCTTCCTTCTGCATGCCCTCCGCTGGGGATCGAACCCACGACCTGGGCATGCCCTGAACCGGGAATCAAACCATGACCTTCTGGTTCATAGGTCAATGCTCAAGCACGCCAGCTGGGCTTTGCCTAAATGTTTTCACTTACTTTGTAGATTCATTAGGACAAGCTTTTAAATAAGGAACACATTCCCATGTATATTAGTTATCATCCACTTGCTAGAGTGAATTAAATTCTGATTTCCCTTAGCCTCTGAAATAATTTACCCTGACATTATGGAGATTTTTGTTGTGAAGAGGGCTGATACTAAGTCTGGATGGTAGAGTACCTTTTCTTTGATGGGAGAGTCATAGGGACAGGTCTTAGAGCAATGAGGTTTCCAAGGATAATGTAAAGAAAAAACTCCTCTTCCTGTATGTCTCCTCTATTCTCAGTATCTTACTAAATACTTCACTTCTGACACCAGACATGTGGGTTTCCCACACATCAAGCAGTTCAGCTGGGTGTCCTACAGTTTACCTCAATTCTAACACCATCTCCCTGGTGATAGCCTCAGATCCAGCAAGTTAAGGACTCAGTCCCGCAAGACTGCCCCTCCCTCACTAACACTTCAACCACTAATTGCAAGTGCAGGTTGTTACCTGTGCTTCGGACCAGCTGACCTCCTCTCTTTTCCCAGGTGGTCAGGGAGAGAGGCTGAATGTTTGAACTCTCTAATCCAGTGGTTCTCAACCTTGGCTGCACATTAGAATCACTTGGGAATCTTTTTAAAATCCTGATTTCTGGGCCTCATCCTCTGGAAATTCTGTTTCTTTGTTATGGGGTGGGGCCACAACATTAGTAACAAAGAAACAGAATTTCCGGAGGATGAGGCCCAGAAATCAGGATTTTAAAAAGATTCCCAGGTGATTCTAATGTGCAGCCAAGGTTGAGAACCACTGCTCTATTCTTTGTTGGTCCCCTCGCAACCAGCCCCCACCCTTAAAAGGCTTTCTCAAAATCACCTCATTAACATAAACTCAGGTGTGGTTGAAAGGGGCTTACTATGAATAAGGAAA